TATATATATATATATATATATATATATATATATATATATATATATATATATATATATATATATATATATATATATTTATTGGAAGGAGATTGAGCAATTTCAATAGGTGTATTTATTTGTACGGCGTTCAGCAGTATTAATATGTATATTAATTAGAATGGGGTTGAATAGTTTTAATTGTATATTAATTGGCATCCATTCAGGTAGGTTGAATATGTATATTATTTGATATTGGGCTGAGTAGCTTCAATATGTATATTAATAGGTATGGGTTTGAGTAGTTTCAATTTGTATATAATTGGTATGGGGTTGAGTTGTTTTAACATTTATCTTATTTGCTATGGGGTTAAGCTGAATTAGTATGTTTATTAATTTGTTAGGCGTTGAGCATTATTAATGTGTATATTAATTGGTATTGGTTTAAGTAGTTTTATTATGTATATTAATTTGTATGGATTTGGGTAGTTCTAATATGAATATTTACTGGTATAGGGTTGTGTAGTATATATATATATAATATTTGGTATGGGGTTGAGCAGTATTAAAATGTTTTTTAATTGGTATTGGGTTGAGTAGTTTTAATATGTATATTATTTGGTATGGGATTGACCAGAAATACTGTGCATTGATTTGTATGGCGTTGAGCAGTATTAATATATATAATAATTGGTAAGGGATAAAGTAGTTTAAATATATATATTAGTTTGTATAAATTTGGGTAGTTTTATTACGAATATTTAATGGTATAGGGTTGTGTAATCCTTTTATGTATATTAATTGGTATGGGGTTGAGCAGTTTAAATATGTGTATTATTAAATTAGTATGAAATTTGTATGGTAGCAAAATTTGTATGGTGGCAAGTAGTTTTACAATGTGTATTAATTTGTATGGCGTTGAGCAGGAATAATATGTATATTAATTGGTATGGGGCTGAATAGTTTCAATTGAATATTAATTGATATGGGGTTCAGCAGTGTTAATATGTGTATTAATTTAATTGGCGTTGAGCTGTATTAATATGTATATTGATTGGTATGGGGTTGAGCAATGATCTTCATACCAATTGATATAGTTTTGAGCAGTGATCTGAAAATCTATTGGTATGGGTTTGCGAGTATATAAAATTCGAACGTTTTCATGCTCGAGCATCATCAGTTGAATCGTAACCCCTGCCAACATTCATGAAGCACTTAGTGCATGGCTTAGTGTGGTTGAACGATAGGTATATATATTTGTGTATGTCAGTGTATTGCATTCGAAATCGCGTTTTAATTCCATGAATGGCACTCATTGTCATTGTACATCGCCAGCAATAACCCTAGTTTCTCTTTCATATAAGTACGTAAATCCCAAGCAATAACCCTAGTTTCTTTTTCATATAAGTACGTACATCCCCAGCAATAAGTTTGGTTTCTCTTTCATATAAGTACGT